AGATTACCTGAGCGACATCACATTGCAGTGAAAGTTAAAACACTGAGGAAAGATTACCTGAGCGACATCACATTGTGATAAGCTGTGAAAGTTAAAATGCTGAGGAAAGATTATCTGAGCGACATCACACTACAGTGAAAGTTAAAACGCTGAGGAAAGATTACCTGAGCGACATCACATTGTGATAAGCTGTGAAAGTTAAAACGCTGAGGAAAGATTATCTGAGCGACATCACACTACAGTGAAAGTTAAAACGCTTGAGGAAAGATTACCTGAGCGACATCACATTGCAGTGAAAGTTAAAACGTTGAGGAAAGATTGCCTGAGCGACATCACACTGCAGTGAAAGTTAAAACGCTGAGGAAAGATTACCTGAGCGACATCACATTGCAGTAAAAGTTAAAACGTTGAGGAAAGATTGCCTGAGCGACATCACATTGTGATAAGCTGTGAAAGTTAAAACGCTGAGGAAAGATTATCTGAGCGACATCACACTGCAGTGAAAGTTAAAACGCTGAGGAAAGATTACCTGAGCGACATCACATTGCAGTGAAAGTTAAAACGTTGAGGAAAGATTGCCTGAGCGACATAACGAGTGGACGTTAAAATATATCCGTAGTTACAGCATGGAAATCTTTTGAGTTAGGAAAGTTACTGACTTATTGTCTATTGTGATGTAACTTAAAAAATCTCCTTAAATTCAAAGTGGGCTGTATTGTTATTTTTAGTAACTAATATATAGCAACTACCATCTCCATACATAATGTTGTGGGGGTGCTTTCGTCGCAGGAAAAAATGCAAACAGCGCCCTCAAACAGACAGAAGCCTTTCTCCGAACTGCAGGTGTTCTTGCCACAGGAAGGTAGGCCAAATCAGTGTTTATGTTCTTTTTTTTAACACAATATTTCTTTAAACTCGTGATGATTCTAAACGTTTTTCTATCCGATTTCCCTACTCCAATCCTCGATGGCTCAGCAGTAAGCTTGAATATTATCTCAAGTCATTCATGTTTAGCAAGAAAAAAAAGGAAAATAGTGTAACAATGTCGAATTTTGTAAAATAATTCTCGATCATAGTACATTCACCCACTCTTGGAACAGGTTGTGAGTGTGTTACAAAAAGGTGACAGTCAATCCCTTTGTGCAGTTCCAAGCCCTTTTGGCTGTTTTCTATACTGTTAACAACAAATTACCAATATCTAACGAACGCTGGCTGATGAAGATACTTTTATTTAAAGTACCAAAAATAAATATTGTTTGCTCTTAACCTACAACAGTCTAAAGTTGTCTGCTAGAGATTCTGGGATGGAGAGCTCTAAATTTCTCACATAAAAGTGGTTAAAATGCTTGACTTAATTTTGTTTGATCTTGACCTACAACAGTCTAAAGTTGTCTGCTAGAGATTCTGGGATGGAGAGCTCTAAATTTCTCACATAAAAGTAGTTAAGGTGTTTGACTTAATTTTGTTTTTGATTTCGTTCTAAAAGGTTGTTTGAAGAGCGAAATCAGTCAATATGTTTTTTTTTAGTATTTTCGACGATTACTCCATAAGCGTGGAAAGCAAACTATATAGAACTGGCCAAAACTAGAATTAAACCAAACCTGTCAGAAAATGTTCTTTCAAAAGTAAGCCCTAAATGAAGAAATATATTTACAATTATAGTATTGAGTTGGGCCCATTTTGATAAGGTAATTCCAAGATATGAAAAACCCAAGCGAAGTAAATGTGAAAATAAAGCAATTCAATGACCAGTTTACATGACTGTCAATTTCTTACGTTAATCTCGTTATCTTATCTTTTCGACTCTTGATTTCCAGCTACCAAATTATTTGTTGTTGTCGTTTTTGTTTATAGGTGAGTCATAATTTCTATTAGACTTCAGTTCAACTGAGGGATGTCTCAAAATTAACGGAATTTATGGGGTGGGTGTTGGAAATGGGGGCCCCTCCCTCCTCCTGTTTCGACGCCTGTGTACTTAAATATTTCGTAAGCGAGGAGTTTTAAGTACGATGAACTATTGTAAAACGTAAAACAAGTTTATTCTAAGTTTTAACAACCTCTGCTATAGTGGGTGACTATATATCAATATATAACCAGCATGCAGTGCGTTAATTTACTTTTTCTTGTTTATGTGAGACACGCACTTTATTGTAATAAAGAAGAAGAACAACATAATAATAACATATAAATGTAAATGTCTGTAGCACATGCCTCGAAATGACTCGGAATTATTATACGCAGTAGCTGATGGGCGCTGTCAACTCACAGATAATCAGTCAACATTAAAGTGTTTTCGTATTAGATACACTTTCTCCTTATTAAATGACCATATGTTTAGTCTAAGAGGTGATCTAAAGTTTGCTGCTATCAGTATTACTAGAGCAATCCCAGGGATGCTCTTTGATGTAATCTGATTTGTACATTTGTCCGGTCAGTGACCTTCCGTCTATGGTTGAAATAGCGGCAGAGGAAAAAATAAATGGTTCATTGTTGAAAGTTGTTTGCCCATTTTTTCCATCTTTCTATTTCTTAGCCAACTTGATACCAATGAAAATGTTTTCGAAACTTGTGATTTAGGATGAGATGTTCATAAAGCAGTAAAAATGGCCCAGACAAACTATCAAAGAGGTACGCTTTGTAAAAATATAGTTTGTGTATACAACTATTCTGTAAAAAGTAGATACCTAAAAAATATAACTCAACTTGTGCAAGTTGAAAATATAAATGGTAATCTGTAAATGCTGTAATATTCACAACTAATGTGAAAAGAAACTAGTTTAGAATGTCTACATGTTTCTCCAACAATATATGTGACCTTCACTGAAAGTCCACAAGATATTGTTGTTTGAAGGTAAGCACAAAGCTACACAATACCCACCACGGGTATCGAAACCCGGTTTCTAGCGATGTAAGTCCGCAGACATACTGCTGTGCCACTGGTGGGCAAGTCTACAAGTATTGAGAAAACTCCAACAAGGAATGTGACCGACGCTGAAAGTCTACAAGTACTGAGATATTTCCAACAATAAATATGACCTTCACTGAAGTATACAAGTACTGAGATAGCTCCAACAATGAATGTGACCGACACTAAAAGTCTCAAGTACTGAAAGTTCTTTAAACATTGAATGTGACCGACACTAAAAACAGTACTTGTAGACTTTCAGCGTCGGTCACATTCCTTGTTGAAGCTACATCATGTACTTGTAGACTTTTAGTGAAGGTCACATTCATTTGTAGAGATATATTCAGTACTTAGACGAAATATTTTGAACAGTGAATGTGGCCGTTACTAAAGTCTATAAGTATTTGGTATTACCCCAACAATGAAGGTGACCTTCACTAAAAGTCTACAAGTACATGGTATAGCTTCAACAATAATTATGGCCGACTCTGAAAGAGTGCAAGTACAAGGTATTTTTGAACAATGAACGTGGCCTTTACTAAAGTCTATAAGTATTTGGTATTACCCCAACAATGAAGGTGACCTTCACTAAAAGTCTACAAGTACATGGTATAGCTTCAACAATAATTATGGCTGACACTGAAAGAGTGCAAGTACAAGGTATTTTTGAACAATGAACGTGGCCTTTACTAAAGTCTATACGTATTTGGTATTGTCCCAACAATGAAGGTGACCTTCACCAGGAGCATTGCATAATGAACTTGTCAGAATTATTTTTGTATCTAGGTGCATATAAATTAGTTAAAGCAAATATGAGTGCTACAACTTCATCTTTAAACTACCTTCTTTTACAATTTGCAGCCAACTGAAAGAAGCTAGTTGATCCTAATGTTATCAAACATTAGATTCACTATTAGATAGACCATTAGGTATGATAAGTAATTCTTGTTCCTTAAAGTTGGCTTTTTATTTCTTGATCAGAAAGCTCAAACGACAAGGTTAAACCAGATAGCGTAACTCGTAAATTAAGCATCTAATTAATTTAAAGTAGTATATAATCCAACCTACATCCTTAAGCTTTTAAAACAAGTGCAACATTATTTAAACTTGGAATTTTAGCCATTCAATAAAACACCCATGTGTAAGAAGTAATTCAACTGTTTATCGGTTTTCTCATCGTTACTGTTTTAAGATAATTTACTGTTAACCAGTCAAAAACGGAATGAAATTCCTTGAATATTTGATATATATATATGTGTGTATATATACACGTATCTGTAGCTATATCTATATTGCAGTGCAATGAGCAAATGACTTAGGCCTATGTAACTATATATGTTCATGTTCCCAGTGTTACATTAAGTTGTATTGCAATCAGCCACGCACAGGTCTATTAATTTGTCCTTTTCGGCTATACTGATGTTTATCAGTTATATTATTAAATAGTTGTTGTTGTTATTTTTTTCGTGTATGCATGCCAAGTTTACTTATTAAAAATTCGAAGATAAATAATTCCTACAGCTGTTAAGAGAAGCATAATTTGGAAACAACAACAAAACTTTGAGTATTTTGTTCCTGAAAGCATGCTGTATAACACTGTGCGATAAAGCACATTTCAACTAAAGCGCCCTCTTCACACGCTGTATAACACTGTGCACTAAAGTACACTTCAACTAAAACGCCCAGTTCACATGCTTTGAGAGTACACCATTTCATCCAGCATGCTTTCAGGAAATGTTAAAATAAAATATTCAGTGTATATGTATGTGGAATCAGTTTCAAGACATCGCTGTTTGAAAAATTTGCTTCTTACGTAGAGTTGTTAAAAGTTCCTAACATTGATTATTTAATTGCACCTTTTGTTTGTTGTGTTTATACATTCTGTTAACTTACTGAGTGAAACTTTGCTTATCTCTTATCATTTTCTTCTTTAGAAATAACAACGTGCTATTCTGAGAGCTACAGACCTCTCTAAAGCACTTTTCCATCTATCTTCTAAATCGGATTGTGGGATAATCCTAAATCACTGTCACCCTATCTGCTACATTAGACACTTAGGGATAATCCTCAATCATTTTGTCACTCTATCTGCCAGATCAGACACTTAAGGATAATCCTAAAGTACTTTTCCATACCATCTGCCAGATCAGATACTGAAGGATAATCCTAAGTTACTTTGCCATACTTTCTACTAAATCAGACGCTGAGAGATAATCCTAAGTTACTTTGCCATACCATCTGCCAGATCAGATACTTAGGGATAATCCTAAAGTACTTTTCCATACTTTCTACTAAATCAGACGCTGAGAGATAATCCTAAATTACTTTGCCATACCATCTGCCAGATCAGGCATTTAGGGCTAAGCTTACTCTTACTATATAATTCTGAAAGTTTCAGATTTCTTAATGAAACATCTGTCCGATGTCTGTTACAGATATATTCGTTTTTGTTTTTTTAGAGGAATCATAATAAAATAGAACATCTGAATACGATATTTGTTTCTGAGCAATCATGGTATATTAATGGGTCCAAGCTACCTGACCATGATCTGGTTTCAATAGAAATCATGTATAGTGATGTATCCAAACCATTTAATTCTAATCTGTTTTCTAGATAAATCATGAAATATCAATGGGTCCAAGCTACCTGACCATGATCTGGTTTCAATAGAAATCATGTATAGTGATGGGTCCAAACCATTTAATTCTAATCTGTTTTCTAGATAAATCATGAAATATTAATGGGTCCAAGCTACTTGACCATGATCTGGTTTCAATAGAAATCATGTATAGTGATGGGTCCAAACCATTTAGTTCTAATCTGTTTTCTAGATAAATCATGAAATATTAATGGGTCCAAGCTACTTGACCATGATCTGGTTTTTTAGGAAACTGTGATCCGATTCCTAGAGAAATCGTGATATATTGATGAATGCAAACCGTAGGTTTAAATCACA